CGCGCCCCGCGCCCCGCTCCCGAGGGAGTTTTCCAGCCCGGCCGCCGCGCTCTCTTTGGCAGGCGAGACCAAAGGGCTAACATACATTTTTTTGATGGCTGCGGGTGGTAATGGGTTAACAAAAGCTTTCAGGTTCTGTGGGCGCGTGTCCCCGTTTCTCCGAGGACCGGTGATTCTTGCCACTGTTACCGCCCGAAAGGCCGTCAGGGTTGTTAGCACTCAGGAAGGGACATCGTTTAGGAAGCTAAGTATGCGCTGCACGTCCCCCGCCAAAATATGCTGAAAATACGAGTTAACAGGGCACAATTGCGTTTAGGTCTAAAAAGCCTCATCTGTAGGTTTCTGCTGCAGAAATGGATTAGGTCGGGAATAGACTTAATAGTAGGAATAGTCATAGAATCTGAATAATTTCTGACTGTTCAGTTCAGATATTCTGGGAAAAAAAAAAAAAAAAAAGATTACTCCTTCGGAAAGGGGATGCAGCCAGATGGTTGCCCTGCAAACAGGTCCCAGAAACACGGGGTTGCGATCTCTGAGGTAGAAACAGAATTTCGAGGGGAAGAAGGACGACTCCACTTCTGACCTGTGGTAACAGCACACCTGTGGGACTCCAAGAGGCTGAGGAGTTGAGCTGCTGACACCGCTTTGATAGGTCATGCTTTTTCCCTAGGTACATCAGCGTATCAGCTAGTCGTTATCAGCGATAAAAACTTGTTTTTTAAGGGGCATGTGTAAGTTGCCAGCTCTAGACTTTGGAGGGTAAGATTCAGATTCAGTCTGTGTATGACCGAATCTTCACAGGAGCCTGAGTTTCACAGAGCAATGGCTTTTTATTATGCCTTGGTAAAGATACAGCTTGATTCTGCTTTGATTACTCCGGTTGCTGATTTCAATTGGACAAGGACTTGGCCCATTGTCAAAAATCCAGTGTCTTTAATACGAGCAGTACTGGTGTACTGATGTTTTTGAATGCGTAGGTAAAGAAGATTAAGCCTTTCTCTATGAATTTCCTTGCTTTTCTGGGCTAGAATTAATCAATGCTGTCATAAGTTGCATAGGTTCAGATGATACTGTAGGTCAATTACTAGCTTACTGTTTTAATGTATATCCGAAGCAAAATGATCGATGAAAACAAAGCAGGGCCTGGATCCTTCTCCCATCGGAGCTGCCGGCTGGATTTTAGCAGTCACAGAATTTAAAAATAGCTTTCATATAACACTGTTTTGAAGGCATATGCATATGCCTTGACTGAAACTGCATTTGTTTGTGTATAGCACTAATTGCAGGGTGTTTTTTTCTGAAAACACAATGGCACGTAGCCATGCCATCACCTCTATATGTTGTGGACACCTGCCATCACCTCTCCGCTAACAGCCCAGGCGGGCGGCTCTGCAGGCAATTCTTTGCCTTATCAATGCTACGCACAGGAGTGGAAGAACGAAAGGGCAAATACGGTGTCTGGGGACTGAACTGAGCAACCACTTGTACTCCTGAAACATGCCCTTATTTAACACTGGAAAACTGATGACTAGGGTTGATTTTTGAATGCGCAGTGTGCCGCAGCCCGTAGTTTAGGGGAAATTGCGTAACTGCTTAATATACTGACATACTATAAATTCCTCCTGTGAAAAAATAATCTGGAAATACTTAAAGTGCATTTGGTACTTCCTTAAAAAAATACACTAGAGACAATCCCAAAGAAATGAAGAGGGAATGATATAGTTGAGGCAGGGGGTGCAATCAATAACTGTTATTTGTCATGTGCACTTGCTCAAGAAGCTGTTTTATTTCATCATCCTTGTTAGTGAAGCTGAGGACTCATAGAAATAAGGACAGCTAACAATTCAGTCATAAATTTGTATTATAGACACATATTTTTCTGAGATATAATGTTTGTAGAAGGATAAATATTGCGTACTTTTATTTGGAAAAAATACATTTTAAAAAATTACTTGATTAGTTTAAAAAGTGCTTTTAAAAGACAACCAAATGCATGTACTTAATTGTACTCTGTGTTATTAAGGCTGTTTGAGAAAGGACTGAATAGTATCAAATATGCTTTATTTAAACAGGCAGGAAGAGCCTTCATGTAAGGACACTTTTATCACCACAGACTGAGACATAATCAGCAGTTGTCTTTTATTGATCATGAGTTCAATCACCTGTAGTGGCTAAGCCTGAAATAGCACCAGTGGTGTAAAAAATACGGTGCTTGTGTAAGGATCTGGAAAAGTCTGACCTGGTGATGCAAACTCCTAACACACTATCTGTACAGTATATCACAAACTTATTTCTAAAAATTCATACCTAAGAAAATACATTCTTCTATACAAAATCTTAACCTGCACTGTTATTAATTTGGCAGTTCTAACTAATGTCTAGTTAGCAAATAACACTGCGTTAACTAGTCTTTTGTAATGTCAGCAAATGCTGAGTTAAAAAAATGGCAATTACCTTTTTAGTATCGTTTTACTGATTGGCCATGTTTGTGAAAGCACTGCCTTTGACAGCCCTGCCTTTCTACAGACCTGATGCCAAAGCCCTTAACACCGGCACATCTCTAATAGAGCTGGAGTTTTATACCTGAGGATTGTTGGATTAGGTCTCACGACTGCAGTTAAGTACTGTCAGCAATTAAGGACAGTTTATCTAAAAGAGCATTGTCATCTGAGATGACAGAGTCATCTGTGCTCAGGACAGGATAAGTGTGGTAGCTGTGGAGACGTACACATCCAGATTTCAAAGCTTGTTTAATGTGGTGGACCTACGTTAACTTCAGGAGTTCTTGATTAGGTCTTTTAATGGCCTCATAATCCAAAATGTGTACTATGTGTAATGTAGGGAGCTCTGGCAGGGTAGAGTAGGGTAGAGTAGGGTAGGGTAGAGTAGGGTAGGGTAGAGTAGAGTAGAGTAGAGTAGAGTAGAGTAGAGTAGAATAGAATAGAATAGAATAGAATAGAATAGAATAGAATAGAATAGAATAGAATATTTCAGTTGGAAGGGACCTACAATGATCATCTAGTCCAACTGCCCTGACCACTTCAGGGCACTTCATCTCAGTGGCTGTGGTCCATCACTGGAAGAGCAGTCACCGGAGCAATAGTGAGCGCCGCAGGTCCCACCGGCATCCCTGCGGCAGCCAGGCAGAGCGGCAGCGGGCAGCCCGCCTGCGTGGATCTGGCAGCAGGGGTTCGCGAAGTGCACCGAATTGGGGCCCCCATGTCAAGCCAGAGGGACACCCCCACTGACACCAGAAGGGAAAGGGCTGGTCGCGTCCAAGGTTTGTGGTGTGGTTGAATACAATGAGTCTGATGGGCGTATTTGTAATTCTCGTTACTCCTTGCTGTTCAGCTCAGGTATTCCACTGAGGATTGTTCCTTTGAAGAGGAGATCCGTCCAGACGGCTACAATGTATATAAATCAAAAAAATATGGAATATCGGTGTCTTTGAGTAGTGCCAAGCAAAGACAACAGTTCAAAGGAAAAGATTTTCTTCCCCTATCTCACTTCTTACCTATGATCAACACTGTGCCCGTGGAGTCAACAGACTTCGGCGAATACGGTGATTACAGCCAGGCGTTTGAACCAGAGGTGTACTCCTCGCCTCTCGAAACGGACAGCATGGACCCCTTTGGCATCACCTCCAAACTGTCGCCGGTGAAAAGCCCTAGCTTTCAGAAATGACTCTGATCACACACGCATGTTTTTAAAGAAATACTGCAGAATACTGCAGGGTTTTTAGCTTTTCATGTAGTGATGTTTCAAACTTTTTTGTGTATTTCAGTACGGAGACAGCCTTTTCCTTGCAATGTGTTGTACCTGTAAGAGGTGACTATTCTATAGTCTAAAGAATTGCCTATCCATAGTTTTATTTGGAAAAGAAGGATTGAATAAGAAAAGCTTAACAGCTTCATCAGAGTTCCTACATTACTGTGGCGATGATAAAATAATTATAATTTTTCTACATCAACTTCATTACAACGTATGTTCACCTGTTATTTCTGCTCACAGGAGCAAATGCAGAAAACCTTGTTTCCAGCCACAGGGAGGTTAACGATCTCTTAGCTTCAGAGGCCTTAAAGACAAACATTTGGAACAAAACACGATTAAGGAAGACCTAGCAAATGTGGTTACGCCAACTAGAGTTAACGCTGTTTCTTGAAAAGCTGCTGACAACGTTCTGGGAAAACTTTCTATTGAAATCATACCACTGAAAAAACAATTCTGCCTGTATATTGTGCTTTTTCTTCCCTTAGGAAATCAGGGAAGAAAGGGAAAAATTTCTTCTTTCCCTTATTGCTAAAGGGTACTTTGGAAAACTGGATCTTTGATTTCTTCTATAGGCTAATTTACGGTCACTGTAGGATCAGCATCATCCAGCAGAGAGTTCTCATTAACATTAGTGAGAATTGAGTGTATGGTTGGAAGAGTGCACAAGACTAGCGTTTACGTTCATCAGATAGGGAATGAGCAGTTCAAATTAGTGTTTAAATTAAGGTTCTGTTGTATATAAGCATGTATGTCATTAGCAAATGGAGAGAAAGACTGAAAATGGATCACGTATAGGTCAAATCTATTGCAAGATAGGTTTTCTGTTTAACCTTCAACCATCAGCAATTCTTTCAAGTCCCTTCCACGCTTGATTCTGCATCCGTGAGAATCAGTGGAGAGACAGTTTACTGACTTAAATGCCGCGGAACTGGGTCAGCTGTGCCGTTCTTCTTGCAGGAAGAGATTATGAGTACCTTGTGACCAAAAAGCGGATGTCTGATGTCTTCAGTTCTATTCTCCCGTTGTAACAATTTGATGAAGGAATAACCAAGGTGAAACCAAAGAAAAAAAGAAAAAAAAAAAAAAATGCGAGAAAAGGGTTCAGGGATTCTACTCATTTCCAAGGGTTCATTTATAATAGAGATTTCTATACAAAAAAAAAGCTCTACTGGAAATACTGGTGTTCTTCTGACCTAGCACTTCATTGCCAATGCAATATTTATAATTAATTTATTGAATACATACATCTGTTTATTTTGTTACTGTTATTTATGCTCAAAATTCTATTTATATACTCCTGAAGGTGGGTTTTTTAGTTGTAACAAATTTTGTGAAGTTTTGTAATCATGAAACTTTAGCAAACGATAGCTTTTTAAATCTCTGTACATTATCAGTAGTGTAATGTGTACATTTGCAATAAAAAAAAAAATCATCTTCAACAGAGAAATCTAGCTGACTCTTTTGTCGCTCCTTTAGTCTAGAGACTTCAAGGAGCTTTAGTAAACCATGACATCTGGCTCCACAGCAGCCACGTGAAGATCGTGTCCCTTGAGAAGGTGGCATAGTTGAGGTACAACAGACAAGGATGCAGAGAGACAAAGGGCTTTTCCCAAAGCTGGGCAGCAAATGCCAAGGCTGGACTTTGAGTCTGTCTGCTGCCAGTTGCCAGTGAGCTCCATGTGAAACAGCAAGTCTAAGAAAAGGATCTCTGTTACAGAAGGGTTTTGGAAAGAGCTCATTACATTTTGACCTTGGGATATGTGAACGTCACTCCATCTCGCCCTAAGTTGTTCCTCTCTTAATACAACAAATGAGTGAAGCTTAGTTTTAAGCTGTGTGTGTCTAGATGTTTTCCTCCTGCTCCTCATCATTCAATCATAGAATAGAATTGCAGAATCATTTAGGTTGGAAAAGACTCTTAAGATCACTGAGTCCAACCATAAATGTAACACTGCCAAGTCCACCACTAAACCATGTCCCTAAGCGCCACGTCTGCACGTCTTTTAAATGCCCCCAGGGACGGTGACCCAACCACCTCCCTGGGCAGCCTGTTCCAATGCTTGACAACCCTTTCGGTTGAAGAAATGCTTCCTAATATCCAATCTAAACCTCCCCGGCACGATTTGGGGCCGTTTCCTCTCATCCTATCATTTGCCACTTGGGAGAAGAGACCACCACCCACCTCACTACGACCTCCTTTTAGGTAGTTGTAGATCTAGGCCGGCGAGTGCTGCCTGTAGACATCATTGGTTATACTTCATCTGCAATAAAGCAGCTGTGGATTCACATCTGCTCTACAAAACATCCCTTTTATATCCCATTTATGTCATTAAACCCTGCCATTCACTCCGCTCGCAGCCTTCGAGGTGCCGGACACCCAAAGGAGTGCTAACCCCCAGCTGCTCAGAGGAGGTGATTCCTCGGGCAGATGGAAAAATTCCCTCTCAGGTGTGGTTTCTCTGATTCTTCTTTGGGTGCGCAAAATCCAGCAGCAAAATGCAAAAATTCATGTGGGTGGAAGGCTGCTCCCTTTTAAACATGGGAACCATACTCAACAGTGCAGCCAGGGAGAAAACCGGCTTTTTTTGCCTGAAAACAATGTTGATTCTCCTGACGGAGAAGAGACGTTTGCAAATGCTGTGAGTCACAGGAATTGCAGATTTCTTGGCTGGCAAACATTTCCCATGGTGTTTCCTATTCTCCTTTGAGCTGAGCCACTGCCACACATCCGGAGGGTTCCCGCTCCTCATGTACTGGGAGCTGTAGTCCTGATTTTCAAGTTCTTTTATTCCAAAAGCTTTCAGGCTTGGGACATTCTGTTTTTCTATTTTTCATGTCCAGTTTTCACCAGCCGGTACGTTTTATTTGAATGTTAGATATTTTTCAAGACCTGTTAGTAAAAAATGGAAAAAAGAAAAACAGAAAACAAAATAAAATACATACGAGCTTTTAAAGTTTGGTCCAAAAAATCCACTTTTACTTCTCTGCTAAAAAAAATGCACAGTTTTGGTGGCAAACACAGCAAATAACAGAGTTCAGGGGTGCACTGTTTAGTGTAACCAGTGAGAGACTTACTAAGTTGATGTAACATCGTTGCTCATGAATATTGCTCAAGAGTGCAAAGACGAGCTACCTTACACTTGCGAACAGCGTCTTGAGCTCTCTAGTGGCCCTATTTGCTGACACCTTTGGATTTGCATCTTCCACCAGCAGCACAACGTTTCTTACTAGCAGCGTGGTTAGAGGTTGGTTCAATATTTATTCAGACGGAGGGAAGAATGCCGGGAGCTAAATTACCCACACCGCTTCCTGGAGCACTTCAGTTTTCCTTGGAGGTTTCCCATCCAAGCTCTGACCAGCCCTGGCTGTTTTGCTTATAAAATCTGACAAGATCACAGCTTGAGGTGGAAGGATT